ATCAAGGAAGAGCTTGTGGATCTCGATTATGTGCTTCATTTCTAGCTTGTTTGAGGTAAAAAGTTTTGATCTTGTTCTTTAGAAGTTTAGATCTTCCTTGTTTAAGTTTTGGACCCTTTTGGTCCCATAGATGAGATCTAGTGGTTTAGTACCACTCTAGGAGCTATGAGTTGCCACTCTTGGTGTTTCTGAGGTTCAAGATGCATAAAGTTGCCTCCTTTAGGGTTTGGAATTCCCCATGTATGAGTTTGAGTTCATTTGATGGAAGTAGAATGTTATATTTCGAAATTGGGTTCCTTTGGGGCATGCAAAGTCACCAAGTTAGTGACTTTAGGATTCTAGTCACTTGTGTGGATTCGGATATATGGTTTGGACTTCTGGACTTAAGCTTTAAGAGCTTAATGTCGATTTTGGCTTAATGGGGGAGTACGCTGGGCGTACAAGTCTGTACACGCAACGTACAAGCTAAATAGCAAGTACGCTTAGCGTACAGCTGAGTACGCCCTACGTACTCCGTCAGGAGGGTTTTTGCTTTTGGGCTTCGTGGTTGGGCTTCCTTTTTGGGCTTGGGTGTTTGAGTTCTAAATGGGCCATCTGAGTACAAGTGTTTTGAACTAGGAAAATTGGTTGGGCTTTAGGGTAAGGCCCATGTAAGGGGGATTGGGCCCAATTTGGAAAATTGGGCCATATTTGGGCCTTAGTTGGTTATTTGGCTTTTGGGTTTTTCAGGTTGTGAGTTTGGGCCTTAGTCTTGGACCAAGTTAGGTTAGGAGTAAAATGGTCTTTTTACCCTGAGTATGGATTTATGGTTATGGTTTGGAACCCAATTGTTGATTGGGTGATATTTTGATATTGACAATTCGGGGATCTATCAGCCAGCAGCCAGGGATCGTCTGTGTGATTCGGCAGTGCAAGGTGAGTCTCCTCACTGGGTTTAGTGGATCGAAGGCACCAATGTCGGCCCATGATTTGTATGTTAGGATGCTAGATGTCTACGTGACTCTTGCATGTATTGTATGATGGTATGCTTACCGGGCAAGGCTCGATGCTAGGCGGGGCTTGATGAGTATATTGTATGATAGTTATTAGTATCTGTTTTTATGCTTACCGGTCGAGGCCCGATGTCGGGCGGGGCTCGATGACTGTAGGGTATGCTATAGTCTTTGTGATTATTGCATGTGCTAGTAAGGTTACATGTTTATATGATTATATGGTCATATGATTATGTGTGTATCGGGCATGGGCCAATGTTAGGCGAGGCCTGGTGATTGACAGATCAGTAAGCCGAGCGGGGCTCAATGTCGGGCGGTGTTCGATGTCAGGTAGGGCCCGAGGCCGAGTGGGACTCGATACCAGGCGAGGCCCGATGGAGGATGGGGGCCCAGTATGTGATTTATGTATGTGTGGTATGTGGTGAGTTGGGGAACTCACTAAGCGTTGTGCTTATGGTTTTTAGTTTTTGTTTTAGGTGTTTTAGTTTTCAAATGGAAGAGCTTGGATGATTGTTGGGCACACACCACATGTTTCCGCATTCTGTGATTTACTCTGATTTAATGATGTTTCGATAGATCTTGTTTACCTCGGTTTTATGGAAATGATATGTATTCAATGAATTATTAATCTAAAAACGAAAATTTTATATCATTAATTTTTGGGCCATTACAGATATATTTCTACTTCATATGGAAATGTCAACAAATTGAAATTTAAAAAAAATATATCAATATGAATGTTTACTTATAATTGACAAAAAAATTTATGAATTTTGATATATTTACTTTTTGATAAAAGAAATCCCTAAAAAATTAAATGTGTCTCTAATAATCTAGTATATATCGTATATTTTGCATCCAACTAACAAATATATTTCATACTAGATTTACACTTGTGGAAAAAAGAAAAAATACTATTATACTTTTGAAATCATAATGACTAATCAAAAAATTATTATTTGTTTTCTGAATAGAAGTATTGCCGGTAAGTTTACAATTTTATTTTTTTTTAATTATATTTTGGTGTTATTTATAACATTCTGTTAGGATTTTGATGTAGTTTAAAAAAAATAGAATGATCCACATGTTCAAGAGTAAAAAAAGTTACACTTTGATGTTATTTATAACATTCTATTAGAATTTTGATATTGTTGAAAAAAATAGAATGATCCATATGTTCGAGAGTAGTTAATATTGTATAAGCACTCGTCTATTGATGCCAAAAGAAATTATATTTTGCAAATAATTACCAATATAGTCAAATAATTAAAAATAATACGTACGTAAGTAATTTTTTTAAGTTTACTTTTTTAAAATGAAGAGAACTTGAAAATCATAACCGGATTTAAAAAGAATGAAGAGATGTTATTGTAAACCTGAACATTGTTGAAAATGCTAATTTTTAACTTAACATCATTTTTTGTTACAACAATGAAGACGAAGACTAAAAGCAGGAAACCAAAATCCTTGATTTTGAGCGATAATGTAAAGTAAGATGAAGACTACCTCTATGAAATTTTTTATTGTTCAAACAAAAGAACATGGTTTCCAAAGTTGTGTTATTTTCCCATTAATAAGCAATAAAATAAAAAGAAAAAAGCTGCAAATTTGTAATATAGTTGTATGAGTTATCCGTGGAAAAAAAAAACATGATTTCCAAAATTGGGTAGCGTCTTATGTAGCTGGTTCATGAATATGAGTTTTCCACTTCCATGAATTAGATGGAAAAAATCCATTAACCGTTCATTATTGCTTGAAGACGCTCATAGCAAATTAAAGACGACTATACCATTGTATATAAGAAACAACAAAATAATAATCAACTTCGATGAGCTAGAAATTTTAACTACCCAAAAGAAAATCTCAATGAAAAACCAACTACGAAGGACAAAAAGGATAACAATAATTGCAAAGTATGCACCAGACAATATACATGTAGAATAATATGATTAAGTTTTTTTTTTCTTATTAAAGCATTATTTGGATCTCTGACTGCTTTAAAGTTGCCCACACTCGTCAATGTGAAAAAAATACTTTCATTAATCCTTACTTGATGTGTAATGTAACATAGTAATTATCTTTTTCAATTGGGAAATATGGTTGAGTGGACGAAAGCGGCAGATTGCTTATCCATTGTACGAGTTATTCGTACCGAGGGTTCGAATCCCTCTCTTTCCGTTTCCGTTGATGACTTTCTATTTTTTCTTTCGAATTTTGCAAACCCTTTTTTATTTTTTTACTAGTTAAGCGTATGGAATATGAATATATAAAATAAAATCTTAAGAAAATTATAAATCAAGTAAGAAAAACAAAATTTGTATTTTATTCTTCACGTCCAAGATTACGTCTGTGTCATGTTGGACGTAGGAATCCAAAGATGAAGAGAGAAACAAAGAATATTACTACTGTGTAAACGAAAAGTTTGAGAGTAAGCATTACACAACCTCCGAAATCGTCCATATCTTTCAAATTAGCCAGTATGAAACTCAATTAACCTTATGTTGGTTCAAAAAACAATCATTATAGATATACATCATAAAAAATAACCAAAATTGACATTAGGAAAACATTTTTATATTTTTTTTCGGTGTGTCTAATGAGATCAGCCAAATAATGTAGCAGTAGAACCGGTGAGATGTACCTTTTAAAATAATAGAGGTGTGATTAAATTGTTATAATGGAGAGAATATGGTTCATGAAAAAAAGAGGAGGTGATGTATAGTATGTGATTCTAAATTTGAAATAATTAATCATATCCATAATTCACCTAATTTACCTATTTTAAATTGGTTCTAAAATTAGAATAACAAATCACATCGTTAATTCACGTATCCTATAAATAGCCACCAATTACCCTACTCTTTCTAGTTCTTATTGAGTCACATGATGAAAGATTTTTTACTACCCTGGTTCTTCCAGCAACAAATGCGGCTCCAAGCTCCTCATGAACAAATATATACCATATTTTCGGTTATTCATATTTTGGATCTAACTATGAGTATTGATTCCTTATTTCTTTAGGTTCCTACCGAACCTAACAAAATACACACAATTTTTATCATTTATATTTTATTTTATTACCAAGGGCGTGTTCGGCACGCAGCGTTTGAGAAAAACTGGATTATAGTTTTTAAGAAAACGCTAGTAAAAAAGAAAAAACCTCGTTCGAACGACATGAGAGTTTAACTTTTAACCTAAACAAAACGCTCCAAAATCAAAAGCTAAATGGAGTAGCTTTCAACAAAACGCTCCAAAATCAAACGATACCCGCTACCAGCTATCCACTAACCGCTACCCGTTAGTTTTGCCGAACACGCCCCAAGTAACATGTCGGAATAATGTTACACAAATAATCCACTTTATGTATACATCAATTTAAGACGTTCTGAATACCAACCTACTTTCAATGTGATTGTAATGCAGCTAACTTTTTTGTTTAATACATTTGAAATAAACTATGACTCAAATAAGCTAATTGTCAATCTACAAAAAACCTCGAGCCAATGATTAGGCAACGAGACGCAAAGTGGACGGAGGTCTGACGCAAGAAGAAACTGGCGTTCTGCAAGGATAATGACGAGACTACGTTTTTCGTCTCCAACATTCACAAAGATGTCAGAAGAGAGGAAATCCGGTGTATATTCGCAAAATATGGAGAAGTATCTAACATCTTCTACCCAGGAAGAAAAGGAAGAAACGATTAGTTTTTCCTTTTCGAACACTCAGTGGGAGCCAATTCCTTCATGGAAAATAGAAACAGATGGAGAGAATATATATGAAATAGGTTAAACCATGGGATCAAAATCAAAGTATGGTCTTTGAAACGGTTGCTAAGATCAGGATCGTTGGACTTCCAATTCAATACTAGGGTGAGAGGTACTTCGAAGCCATTACAGGAACATATGGAAAAACGATTTCCCCTTACGATGATTTACCTCATCGAGTCGATATGTGATGCGTTAAGATTGGCATACTATCTGAGATTAGAGCGTAATTAATGAAGAAATTATGATATCAGTTGGTAGTAACACAACCAAGATCAGAATCACTGAGTTCGATGAGGATTGGTTCCCCTTCCAGTTTGACATTGTGAAGAATCCTTACGCGATAGAGGGGTTGGTTGGAGAGAACAAGGAACAAGAAGAAGACGACGCCGATGGGGCTTCTGACACCTGGGGGCAATTAGATGATCGTAAACTAGAAGAGGTTGAAATCAATACTCATAACCAGCCGTACGAACCACCGTTACAAGATAAGAAACAAGCAGTGGAAGAGAACAACATTACAATGGAAATTGAACTGGAAACCAATGTTCCGCCGGAGGATAACCAACAGTTTTCGGAAAACAACATCGGAATGGAAGAAGGTGAAAGGTAACCTCGGAACATGGTAATAATGAATCCTAATGTTAATATGACCTTGGAAATCACTCCTAATAAATCTGGTGGACCACTAATAAACAACGAACCGACTCAACCCAATGGGCTAGTGATTTCTGGATGTTTTGGCCCATTCTCTTCTACTAGATTCCCTAGCCCAATACCAACCCAAGAGCAGTTGGACCAAAGTTTCTTCTTTGGCAGGTCAATACTAAAAAGACATAGGGCTGATTGTTCTTCACCGAGCTTCCTCCCCCAATTCATTACCCTAATGGCCGACCTTGAATCACTGACTAATTTAAGTGTTGTTTGTTTTTTTTTGTAAAAAACATCTTCAGACACATGCAACATTTTTCATCTCGCAGCTGTTTGTTTTTTTTTTTTTAATCTTAGGAGTAAAAAACATTGCGCGTGTTCTGCTTGCGTCAACACTTGTATTGCCTCTTCCAACCTCTTCTTCTTTTTTTCTTACTGAAATTTTGATGAATTTTGATTATATGTTGTTGAAATTTTGTTAAATTCTTGTTTCACCTTTTTTTTTCGTTTTTTTATTCTTGCTAAATGATTTTTTTTCTTTTTTTTATATTGAATAATGATAATTTTGTTGCTGAAATATCATTATTTTTTGTTGAAATTCCATACATTATTAAATTTTTGATATTAAAAAACTATTTTCGTTATATAAAATCAGTTTATTTTATTTTTTTAATATCTGCAGCAGCATCCAGATGTTAAAAAACAAACACGCTTCTTATTACAGTCTGCAGCCGTTTGGTCCACCTTTTCTGCTGCAGAGGGTTGCAGAGGTGGTCCGCAGACTTCATGAATTTTTGCTTCAAAAAAACGAACAGCACCTTAGTGTTACCTCCTGATCGGAATACTCACCAGTCGGGGGAAATAGAAATACCTCAATTGATTGAAACATAATCGACTTCATATGGGATAGAACATAGCGAGGGCACTTCTTCATCTATTAAAACAGACAAAACTGTTGAAATTGGGCAAAAATTGGGTTTCCAAATTAGTGTTGGGCTTCAATCCTCAATGAAGTCCTTGGAGAATCAGGTGCAACAAACATCATCCAATAAATATAGTTTGAGTTTTATTTCATTGTTAAGTTTCTAGTCTTGCAAAACTAGAGAAACCCCCCTTTCTATTACTTGTTTTATTTAGATAATATTACCATTTATTTTAATTGTTTACCGTTCCCTGTGTTCGATACCTTACTTGCTTGAACTATATTACTAATCGATAGGTACACTGCCTTTCGTGTGTTTGTCTTTGTATTTAAGTTAGTAGGATTAAAACTAGTTGGTTTTACACACATCAAGTTTTTGGCGTCGTTGCCGGGGAACGGTTCTCAAAATTAAATTTTAATTGCTAGTATTATCGATCCTTTGTGTGAGATTTATCTCAAAAACTTGATGTGTGTAAAACCAACTAGTTTTAATCCTACTAACTTAAACACAAAGACAAACACACGAAAGGCAATGTACCTATCGATTAGTAGTTTAGTTCAGGTAAGTAGGGTATCGAACAAAGGGAACGGTAAACAATTAAAATTACTACTAATATTATCTAAATAAAACAAGTAATAAAAAGGGGTTTTCTTTAGTTTTGCAAGACTAAAAGCTTAAATATTTTACTAACACACAAACTAAGCAACTAACAGCTAAGCAAATAAAGATCAACTAAATTCAATAATAGAGAAGACTTATGTTTA